TCATAGCCTAGACGGGCCGTGTTGAGGCAGAAGGGAATCTGGTAGCAATGCATCATGATATCTGCGGCACGGCCGTCAGAGCCAGCCGCATTGGGAATTTCGCGCCGGAGGAAGATGCCAGCATCCGAATCCATGGTAGTCTGATTGGGGGGCACAGGACGGTTGAGCTCCCAAATGATAATACTCTCCGGGTGATCGAGGAGATTTTCACCAACGCCAGGCAGATCCTTGACGACCGGAATCCCAAGAGAACTCAGCTGCTGACGGGGACCCAGGCCGGAGAGGAGCATCAATCTTGGGGTGTCGACAGCACCAGCACACAGAATAGTTTCCTTCTTGGCTCGCAAGGCGTGCTTGACACCGGATTGCAGAGTCACGTCAACACCGGTGACAGTGTCTCCTTCGACATTCACGCGAGACACCCACGCGTTGGTAAGGATGGTCAGGTTTGGGCGCTTCTCCTCACCGCGCAGAATAGGGTGGATGTATGCCACACTAGCACTGCTGCGACGGCCATCATCTGGATTGTACGAGACGGAGAAGAAACCAACACCCTCCGTCAGCTCACCCTTGGAACGGATTTCCTTATTGAAATCGTGGATAATGGGAATGTTCATGGCAGTCGAGCAAGACTGCACCCAGTCCTTGCACAGCTGGTTTCTGTGACGGCTGTGGACGGGCTGGACAGTGTTTCGCAGGTTGTCGAGGACGCGAGTAAAAGTTTCAAAAGACCAGCCCTTGCAACCCTGCTCCTCCCATCTTCTGCAGTCATACTCGAAGGGACGGAAGGAAATAAGAGTGTTGTGGCTGGAGCAACCACCCAAGACCTTGGCACGAGAGTGACGGATATGGCTGTTGCCTGGAGAATGAAAAGAGGTTCAGTAACTGACGAAATTGCTAACTAGTCCGCAAGGACATGAGGATAGAACAGGGAATGAGAATGAACACACCCATGGGCTGCTCCGTGGTTGGATAGTCGTAGTCCAGCTCGCCTCCCAGGAGGTTGAGCCATTCCCTCAGGTTAAGGACTCTATCATCCATGAAGTCACTGGGACCACCCTCAATGATCAAGATTCGCTTATTGGGCAAGTACTGAGCCAGCCGACTGGCAATGACACAGCCGGCCGTGCCACCGCCGACGATGACATAGTCGTAGCTATTGACGTCGGATGCAGGGAAATCGTTTGTGGTGGCCATATTGAATGATAGTGATGGAATGATTCAAGGGTTCTTCTACTGGTGCGGAGAACAAAACCGGGGTAAACTGGTGAGGAAATAAGAGGAGATCCAGCACCTCTGGAGCCTGTCAAGAGAGAAGGGACTAGGTAAAGAGGGCGGAGGGGGGAATAAGACCGTTTAGAAAGAGAAAGGTAAAATAGTGTAGTATTATTATAACGGAATTCTGATAGATTTTAAATTAAAGGACGGAATTAGGTTGGAGACATGGGCCTCAGGTGTTGAGGCGGCCATCATCCGTTCGCCGCCAATCTTTTTCCTCTTCCCTAACGATTCCCCACCACAAGAAAGGTACCGAAAGGAGGATCAGCCAATGATGAAGACAAGATTCTTCTTATCCCGAGAAGAAGGCAGGCCATATTAGATAATGAAAACATGGGTTAATAATATGGCCTGATACTGGTTCGGATTGAACAATCATCTTCCGCTTCGATGGTTGATCAACCGCACCTAGAGGTAATGTATCTACCTTACTTACAACATCGATCTGCAGGCTGACTGAAGGCTGTACAGACACTTCTGAGAGTTCCCTATCCGTACTGGAGTAGGCATCTCATCATCGGTCGCGTTCCTTCCCATATTTCAAGCACGACTGTACTCACGAGTTGTGATCTTTGATCAGACAAAAAAAGCCCTCGACGTCATCAAAGCGACTCCACAGCCCACACGAGGGCTTTGAGACTAAGACGACGCCACGATCCACGAACTCACACTAAGACAGTCACACTAATTCATTAACGGTTTGAACATCCATCGGAGACTCGTCACTGAGTTGAATCCTGGATACTATTACCCGCTTGGTATATGTTAAGGACGGCACTATTTGTGCATGTATTCTTTTTCCTGACAGATCCTTATTTACTGGAGAACTCTGCTAACTATGTCCTGATGGAGTAATAAAATGCAAGAAGGTTCGCTTCATAAGACGGACGCTGTTTGTGAATATCGGTCTTGTCCCGTGTTTCCTATTGGAGGCCATGCCTTAATTTCCCCATCCCCAGCCTTGGCCCTGGAGCGTCTTTTTAGCTTTTGATGCTGTTTGACCATCGCGTGGCTAGTCTTAGACCATCAAAACTTGGTTTCATTGCGCAGTAATCCGTGCGGCCCCAGGAGGGGATTGGTTCGTGGATTTTCCTCCTCAAGACTTCAGTGCAGTATCTCTCAGAGGACAGATGTCGGCTGGGATGGTGCTACTAGTAGTAGAAGGTTTGATCAGCACTGAGACAGAAGACACCGTCTTCGGATGCTCGGAAGGAAAAATCAACCGCGGTCTCAAGTCACAGGCCTTCTGTTGACCATGGACCCAACTAGGCTGCAGGTGGTTCAGTGGGCGTAGCCACAGCGGAGCCTGTCCTCGTCGAATCAAGAGGGGGCGGAATCATGAGGCGGTGTGATTCAAATATGAAAGCATAACCAGATAATGAGGCCTAAGTATCCGCACCTATCTGTGGAGGAGTACGGATTACTCTGAGCAACCTGTCAGCTACACACAGAACAAAGTATCTATCCTTATTATTATATTTCAAGATTTACTTCGCGGCTACCCTGTACAAATTTCTAGCCACCCTCTCCTCAACCACAAAGAAAATGACGGACCTCCCTTTCCCTCCTCGTCACCCATATTACGACGGCAGAATCCAGTCGGCGTCTTCTGGCCGGACTTTTCGCACTGTTAACCCTTCTGACAATACTCCACTCGCTGAAATCCATGTTGCTTCACATTCTGATATAGATGCGGCCATTGCAGCTGCTGACCGCGCGTTCCCCTCATGGTCACAAACCCCTCCTATTGCTCGTGCGCGCATTCTACAAAAGGCTGCGGCCTTGCTACGGCAGAGAAATGACGAAATCGCGCGTCTCGAAACTCTAGATTCCGGCAAAGCCTATACAGAGACAAGCACAGTCGACGTCGTGACTGGTGCAGATGTGCTGGAATATTACGCCAACCTGGTAGGAGGAGGCGGTCTCAATGGCGAGACGACACAGTTGAGAGAAGATGCCTGGGTCTTCACAAAGAAGGCTCCGCTGGGAGTTTGCGCCGGCATTGGCGCATGGAATTATCCTCTCCAGATGTAAGTACTTCATTCATTGTTCTTGTCCAGACGGACCGAGCAGAACCTATCATATCTGCTTGTCTCTCTTTTCTCGGCTGGGCTTAGCAACTGACACATGTGACACAGTGCTCTCTGGAAATCAGCACCGTGTCTTGCGGCTGGAAATATCATGGTCTACAAGCCCAGTGAATATACGCCCCTTCATGCACAGATCCTGGCTGAGGTCTACCGGGAAGCTGGACTTCCCCCTGGGGTCTTCAATGTTGTCTATGGCGCTGGGGATGTGGGTGCTTATTTGACCGCTCACCCCCTGATCGCCAAGGTCAGCTTCACGGGCCAGGTGTCAACAGGAATGAAGGTGGCCGGCTCGGCCGCCGGACAAATGAAGTATGTAACGATGGAGCTAGGAGGCAAGAGCCCATTGCTCATCCTCCCTGATGCGGACCTTGAGAATGCAGTAAATGGAGCCATGATGGCCAATTTCTTTAGTACAGGCCAGGTTTGCACTAATGGTACTCGGGTGTTCGTCCCAAGAAGCATGAAGTCGGCTTTTGAGAAGGCTCTTCTGGGCAAAATGCAATATATCCGCCCCGGGCCTTTGTTTGACAATGCAACCAACTTCGGACCCTTGAGTTCTGCCCTTCACCTCGAAAAGGTAACCTCGTATATTCGTCATGGCATTGAGACGGACAAGGCAACGCTCCTCTATGGCGGGCTGGGAAAGCCCCCACTTCCAAAAGAATTGGAGAATGGGTTCTGGGTGCGGCCAACTATCTTCACAGACTGCACTGATTCCATGCGGATTGTTCAGGAAGAGATTTTTGGGCCAGTCATGTCGATTCTCTACTATGATACAGTCGAGGAAGCCGTTCGGCGTGCGAACACCACTGAGCTTGGCCTTGCGGCAGGTGTCTTTACGCGAGACCTGAATATGGCGCATCGCATCATCGACCAGCTCCAAGCAGGCATTACATGGGTCAACTCCTGGGGTGAAAGCCCTGCCGAGATGGCTGTGGGTGGCTGGAAGAAGAGTGGTGTTGGCGTCGAGAACGGCCGCAGAGGTATCGAAGCTTGGGTGAGGAACAAGAGTACCCTGGTGGATATGAGCGGACAGGTTGCTACTGTCTTTGCGAAATTGTGATCCAAAATGTACAAATGGTACAAATTTTCCATTCAAGGAGCCATTGTATCAAGTATATTGGTCAACAAGAACTGTATCATCCTCATCGCAGACATTGAAAACCAATTTTGGAGCAAAGTTCAAACAAATTCATTCTGATCCCAAATTCCCCGGTGTTGTTGTTCCTTCGCCTTCCATCTATAAGGTGCCTCGATACAGGCAACTTATCTTTGTACTCGAACTTAGCGTTGCAACATCAATAGATTTGTGGGATATATAAAAACTCACTGACAGAGCAAGAACGCCAACTGAGACGATTATCAAGATCCGACTCTATACGCAGTAACTAGTTGCTATGCCAAGCGGGACAAAAACCATCTATGAAGAAAGCAAGATCGGCCTATAAGACAAAACACATTCAAAAATATGACAAACAGTCCTCAGCAACGGCGCACCGCAAACAAGTCTGCTGCATGTTCGACTTAAGTCCTTGCAACCTTCAAAAAATTGCAAATACTCTCACCAAGTTGTTCAGCATGATTGTTCCCAATACAATGTAGCAATCTGAGTTACGAAGCTTGCGACTCCTTTCAGTGGGATACGACTCTCGCGCCCATCCGGTCGAACATCATGTCGGCTTTGAGCGTTGAGTCCAACCCGCCAATGGCAGAGTCTACCATTCGAGAAGACATGCTGTCTGGTGTCAGTTCGTCTTCCTCTACAGAGTTCTGGAACTCCGTGTTGATCCTCAGATGCTTCGGAACTTTGGGAGGTGTCGACGCGGGGGTGGGCTGCTGCTGCAATTTGCTTGCCCCCAATGGAGCAGGCACATAGGCCCTCGGTCGGTAGACAAGTGGCGGGCCTTGCGTACGAGCGTCTGTTCCAGCCTGCTCAATTGACTCGAAATAACGGACTGTCTTGACCTTCAACTCCAAGGTAGCATCGCGGTCGCACACAATTAGTGGGTGTTGATGCAACTGCAGTGCTGACAGTGTCCACATGTGATTAACACCGCCCTCGAGGCCCTTCTCCAACGCAAGAGCTTTGTGAGCGCCCGTTGCCACTATGACCACTTCCCTGGCCTCCATTATAGTCTGAATGCCAACCGTCAAAGCCATCCGGGGAACTTTGTCAACATCATTGCCGAAAAATCGAGAGTTTGCAAGGATTGTATCGTACGCCAACGTCTTCACCCGGGTTCGACTGCTCAACGAGGATCCCGGCTCATTGAAGGCAATATGCCCATCGGGTCCGACGCCGCCTAAGAAAAGCTCGATGCCGCCATAGCCGGCGATGCGGGCTTCGAAGGAAGCACATTCGGCGGCCAGATCTGGGGCGTTGCCATCCAGGATGTTGATATTTTGAGGTGGAATGTCGACGTGCGAGAAAAAGTGCTTGTACATGAAGCTGTGATAGGATTCGGGGTGGTCACGAGGTAAACCCACATACTCATCCTGAATTGATCAGCATGTGCCAGCATACAAGAGTCGTGAAAATACCATATTGAATGTCACGACATTCTTGAAAGATATTTCACCCGCCCGGTGGCGTTGCACAAGGATTTTGTATATAATCTCCGGGCTGCTGCCAGTGGGAAGACCCAGTACGAAAGGGCGATCCTGAGTGGGCTTGAAAGTCCTGATACGGCCTATCGAGTAGCAGAAAAAAAAAAAGTGTTAGAGATGTAAGTAAGCAAGCCACATCGACAAGCCGTGGAGCATTGACTTCTGATAAAGGTAGAGCGTACTGATGATATAGTCGGCGATATATTCCGACGCCTGCTGAGCGTTCTCCCTGATAATCACTCTCCTACAGACGTGTCAGAACGTAAAGAGAAAGCTTCTTTTTCTTCATCTCCCATCTTGAAAACGCCTCTTGAGATCGATGAAAATGGTAGCAGAAGTAGAAGGCATACTTACATGATGTTTGTTGTACCCGTGGTCGTACGTCACTCCTCCAGAAAAGCTAAGCCGATAAGGCTGATAAGGTCGTAGTATGAGCTGGCTATGACAGGAAAGACTTCGTTCGCCGGCCAGGGAAGTAGAATGAATCGACTATCGCGTGGTGTGAATATTTGATAAAAAGAAGGTATGTCTAACTTTGACAAAAGAAGGGTGCTGATAAAGTGGTAGTTATGATATACCAAGATCGGTGTTAGGCCGTCTGCTATTATGGATGGGTTCCAATGTTCGCCCCCATTGTCCATGGATCTGTTGCAACTCACCCTGTCAGCAGTCAAGCCATGGAATCTGGATTGGCTGGTGGAGTATGACAGGGTGATACCTCCCACAACCGATAGATATTATCGTAGGTGCAGTATGGACTACTACTACTTCCGAGTACCGTGCAACTCGTACAATATGAGGTATGATTGTACTTATTCCTCGTCCTGAACTGATGACACTTGCCTACTCAGCATGGTCATGATAGCAAAGCTCCTAGAATCATTGTTTCGATTTATTGTTGAACTTCCATCCAAACCATCTAAAAATTTCTTCCCGTTTGCTTTGTATGAGAAGAGAGTCCGTGGTTCAACTGCTGCAGATGACGCATCACCAAACATCCATCGAGGGTGATGTCAACGCCTCAAGAGAAGCATCCAATCGGGAAGAGGAATGAGGAAATGTGAATACTCTTTGTTCATCAATAAGAGAAAAGATATGGTAAAGTCGGTTTGGACGGAAAGGTTCCATCTGGCTGGCGATCAACCTGACGTTACAAGAAGAGGTGGCAGACGAAACAGGTGACCTTGGATGGGCGTCATAGCAGACTCGATCTGAAAGAGATAATGATAATATGTTTCTCTACTGATATGTATTAGGTAGGTACTCTTTAACGAACGACTCCACTGTTGCATTCGGCAGAATCGGGAAACCCGGGGAAGAGTGCAACCCTCTCTGGCCTGGCTGTGGCGTTGCGTTGCATGGAGTTTCATTCATGAAATAGTCTGGCTTGTCTGTAACAGACTGAATCACACATACGCCTGTGATGTTCTGTATTGTAAAGCATAGGTAATGTATGTTACAGCTTCGAATCATGGATGGAATGGATGACTGTAAACTAAGCCTTACTAAGGTATGGATCTCCTACTCTCACGTGATGAGACAGACCTCTTAGTCATAGAACCTCGCCAAGTGTCCCATCATGTCACACGAGTTTCAATCAAGGGGAAATAACGGGCATTCAATGGTTTCCCTCCTTTCCTCAAATGATTGTCTAGGAAACTGCAGACCGTCTTTGCCGATGTCCCTGTCAGACAAGACTGTACTTACATTGTGCAGTTCACTGGTAATCCTTGGAGGAACTCACACCGAGGGCCCCATCCCCATCTTCTCTGCTAGGCTATCTCCATCATCCGGCCCGCAGTGGTTTAGGCCGACGGATTACCGAGCCCGCTAATCATAGTAATCAATAATCATCGTTGTACCTTATCGACCGACCTAGGTAAGGTAACTAACTAAAGCGCTTCGGCTACTAGGTTGTTTACCTGGTCCTGACATTACCACCAGCTCGCGCGCCTTTGGGGCCAGCCAGTTGGATTTTAGCATCAGGAGCTTAATTCAATTGCCGTTTCTGGTTACTCCCAGTCGGCTTCAGACGTCGTTTGCGGTTATCGTGGCAGAACACCACACCCATTTCCATCAACAGCACTCTGGAATCTCCTCCTGGACAGGTCATCTCACTCTCCACTCCTTTCAGCTTCGCACTTGCATTCCTCAACCCAGGGCCCTGATGGCCCCGAAAGAGGATATGCTGCCCCCTGGCTGGGAGGATCTAGACAGGTAGGAATTAAATGTCTCGGCATTTGTTTGTTGTTTTCCTTCCTCTTAACTGTTCCTCCGACTGTATTCCGTGGTCTACATTTGGTCCCTCAAGCACAATTTATTACATTTTCTCTGGGCCTTCCGTTTTACTTCTCTGTCCGTACAGTTTGCTTGACGACTGAACAATGGCTGACTGGTTGGTATTCCCCCTTGCGTCTTGTTTACAGGCAGATGGGGCAGCTCTTTATGATGGGCTTCGATGGAACGTCAGTCAACCCTCAAATTCGCTCTCTTATCGAAAATTACCATCTGGGCTCAGTTCTGTTGACAGCCAAGAACTTAAAATGTATTGTCACTATTATTCTCCTCTACCCTTCGAGCACCTCTTTATTGACCACTTATCAAAGAGATTCCACCTTCCGTTTGCTAACAAACCGAATCGCGAGCAGCTGCGGAAGAGGCAACGCGACTGGTCCTTGAGCTACAAACAATCGCCCGAGATGCTGGCCATCCAGTGCCTTTACTTATCGCCTTAGATCAGGAAAACGGCGGCGTGAATAGCCTGTATGATGAAATTTACATTCGACAGTTTCCCAGCGCAATGGGAATCGCAGCAACTGGTTCAAAGTCACTGGCTCATGATGTCGCTTTCGCTACGGCCCAAGAGCTCAAAGCCGTAGGGGTCAACTGGATCCTCGGCCCTGTACTAGACGTGTTGACTAACGTACGAACTCAGCCTTTGGGGGTTCGCACTACCGGCGATGATCCCCAGGAGGTGTCGCAATATGGCGTCGAGTTCATGAAAGGCTACAAGAAAGCAGGATTGGTGACATGTGGCAAACATTTTCCGTCCTATGGTAACCTTGAATTCCTCGGGTCTCAAACAGACGTTCCCATCATCACCGAATCATTGGAACAGCTCAGCTTGACCGCGCTGGTCCCATTCCGCAATGCCATAGTCCACGGTTTAGACTCGATGATGGTGGGAGGTGTCTCTATGTCGTCTGCCGGTGTAAATGTCATGCATGCTTGTTTAAGTGAGCAGGTTGTCGATGACTTGCTGCGGAAAGATCTGAAATTCAATGGTGTCGTGGTTTCTGAATGCCTAGAGATGGAGGCTCTCACTCACAATATTGGTGTCGGCGGCGGAACCGTCATGGCGAAGAATGCAGGCTGTGATATCATCCTCTTGTGCAGATCCTTTCCGGTGCAACAGGAGGCGATCAACGGGTTGAAGCTTGGGGTGGAGAACGGCATAATTGGTCGGGCTCGAATAGAGCAATCTTTGCGCCGGGTTTTGAAGTTGAAGGCGAAATGCACCTCCTGGGAGCAAGCCCTGAGCCCGCCTGGGCTGCCGTCTCTCATGCAGATGCAACCATCTCATACCAGCCTCTCCAAGAGGGCGTATAACAGCTCTATTTCAGTTGTACGTGATAAGCAGAATCTGCTTCCGCTGTCCAACATCATCGAGCCTAGTGAGGAATTGCTGCTTTTGACTCCGTTAGTCAAGCCATTGCCCGCATCTGCAGTCTCTCGTTCGGTGACGGAGCACCCGAATCTTTCTCTCGACCCGATTGCATCAGATAGAACCGCCTCTGTGCTGAGTGGTGAGAGTGTCTTCAAGGAACTGGGCCGTTCTCTCTCACGTCAAAGAAGCGGTCGCGTCCTACATACGTCTTATACGGCGAATGGCGTCCGACCAATTCACGAGAATTTGATAGATCGGGCTAGTGCCGTCATTGTCGTCACTGCGGATGCAAACAGGAACCTATACCAGCATGGCTTTACAAAACATGTCTCTCTGATCTGTAGGTCTCAGTTCACTCCATCGGGAGAGCCGCGAGAGAAGCCTATGATTGTCATCGCCGCTAGTTCCCCATATGATTTTGCCATGGACACGTCCATTGGTACCTATGTCTGCACTTACGATTTCACAGAGACGGCTTTGGAGGCGTTGGTCAAAGTTCTCTATGGGGAATTGACACCAAAAGGCTCATTGCCGGGTTCTATCAGCCGCAGCCAGAAGCTCCATCAAGCGCGGCAGCACTGGCTTGTAGAAAACTGGAATGAAGAGAGAGATGCCCACTCTTTGGACTCTTTACTTGACGCAGTCAGAGCGGATTGCGCGCAGGGTCAGCGTTCTGAGCTGCTAGGTGTGACATCCAGCAGCTTCTTATTACGAAGAGAAGAGATTGACGAGGCGCATTTTGTTGTACGAAACAGCAGTACACAGGCTTTATACGGATTTTGCTCGACTTATTTCTTCAGGTCGACGGGCACAGGCGTTATTGGATCGCTGATTGTTGATCCTACAAGACGGAAATTGTCGATTGGGAACTCGCTGCACAACCGCGCGATCCGAACACTTCTTCAGCGAAAGGGGATGAGGAGGTTTCAGCTTGGTTCCCGACTTCCAGGCATATATCTAGGCATTCCGTCTTCTAATCCAGTGGAGCGTAAGAGGTTACGCCAGTGGTTTGCGAACCTGGGCTGGAACACTGCCCTTTCGCGGCCTGTTTGCAGTGTGGTGCTGCGAAATCTTCCAACGTGGACGCCACCTGATGGGATCGTACAGGGATTGAAAAATGCCGATGTCTCTTACGACCTTGTTCATGGATGGGATTACGCGGAGCCTATCC